GAAGTCGGTTTCCACACTAGCAACTAATTCTTACACACCTCACTGGAAGTGGAGGCCATAAAGAAATAAACAAAATCGTATCACATTACCGAAGAGGTCCAGGCCAAGAATAGGATTATGGACAAGCTACTTAATTCCGTTCCACTCACATTACTTCCTCCTCAAGACTCAATCCTGTAGCTTCAGCAATCTACAAACTTCCAGCAGGTATTCGAAGTCCTGACCTTTTCAATGAGCTCTACCTTCTTTGCCAAGTATCTCTAATTTCTAAACTCAAATCCTGTATCAGATTCCCCTGGGGACTTCCTCATCTCCCCTCATCCACAGTTCTGGGTTTCTTTCAACTGCCTAAAAACTTGGACGCATCCCAGATTCCTCCTTCCAGTCTCCACTCACCTCCCTCTTCTTAATCTAATCAGTTGCAAATTCTTGCCAGGCCGTTCCTTTGCATCCCCCGGAGCCTTATTCCTAATCCTAGCTCTTGTCTATCTCAAATGTGCACTATCGCCGTGACCTCCCTAACTGGACGGCTCCAGCCAGTCTTGGGTTCCCTCATGCCAGGTGCATTTTTGAACTGGGCTTGTCCGTTTCTTTCCGCAAACATGTCCCCGCCGTGCCTGTCCATTTTGGTATCACATCTTGTGCCCTAACCCTTCTCATGATCATTTACCTCCTCTATGATTCTGTGATGGGATCTCCCGGACCCTTCTTCTCTCATGACAATCTGCTCTTCTGACGTGGAGCTAGTGTTTAGGAGACTATGGGGGTCTTTACCTTTTCTCTCCCCAACCCCAACCGCATTATAATGCCACTGAAGTCACCTAGCAAGTGTCTTTTTGCCTCTTGATTTTTCCCTCTACTTCTTATAGCTGGGGCCACTTTCCTTTTAGATAAGAACGTAGTTGTGCTTATCTGATGCTTTTAAAATACTTGCTGTATATAAATAGTTACTGACGGCCGCCAGTGGGCTTTTCTGGTTTTATTAGTGTCAGGTAACTTCCAGTACACATCCTTGTACACCTTTGGGCGCTTTAGACTCCATAGACAGATATCACTGCAGTGGGGTGGCTGGATTCAAATTATGTCTATTTCAAACTTGGGTGGAATGACAATTTTTGAAGTATTTTAATATTTATTTATGTGCTTCCTTATTTATTGTGTGTATGTGCATATACGTACATTCCTGTGTGTGAAAGTGGGTACATGTGTAGAGGTCAGAGGTCAACCTCGGGTCTAGGTCTATGTCTTTTATCTAATGTGAGACAGTCTTCTTGTTTTTCTTCTATGTAGGCCAGGCTAACTGGTCCAAGAGTCTCCCCTCTGATCTCTTGGGAGTGCTGGGGTTACAGATGTTCAAGCCCGCTAGCTCTGTACGTGGCTTTTTAAGAAGATGCTGTGTATTCGAACCCATCTTCACATTTGTGTGGAAAGCACTTCTCCCCATCGGACCAGCTCCACAGCCCTCTTTTAAAATGTGTGCCACCACGTCTGATTTCATATGGTGCTGGAGACTGAGTACTGGGCTATGTCCGCCTGGGCTAGATCCCTTTGTGTTTGTGGTTTGTTTGCTGGTTTGTTTTTGCTTTGTTTTTGAGACAGAGTCTCATGCAGTCCAAGATAGTCTCAAACTTACGATGTAGCCAAAGCTGGCCTTCAACTCCTGGTCCTTCTGTCTCCTAACTACTGAGGTTACAGCCGTATACCACCCTCCAAGTTTCTTTATTGCACTGCATCCCCACAGACTATTAACTCTCGTGACAACGTAAAACCAAGAGAAAGAGAAAGTGAATAGACTCTTCGGTGGGCAGTTCACGGTAATCTGGCATTCCCCAACGCAGCCTGCACACCTTTCCTTGCCAAGGATCGTCTGAAGCCCAAAGCCAACCGAAATGTGCCCATCCCTGAAAGGGGGTGAGCTGTAAATTTCACAGATGTGACGTTTCATTGCTTAACCCTTAGGGAGTCTCCAAAGGAATTAGATGAACTCAGAACTTGCTCCAAACAGAAAAGGCCCGAGAGCCTAAGCCATCCTCTCTGTCATTTCAACATTTTTGCCTGATGTCTCCTGGGCCAACCATTAGAAGTGAGCCTGTTTCTTCTTGCTTCGAAGTTTTGTTTATTTAGTGTGTCTTTTTGAAGTCTGATGATTAATGGGACAATAAATGCCACCAAATGCTCTGAGCCACTTTGGATTCCTCCCGGTCTTTTTTAGAAATTGAATAATATTTAGCCGAAAGCTTACCAAACTTTCCTGGGGACTCCTGTGCAGTATCCGTCCCCGGGAAGCAAACTGAACAACCCTAACACCAGTGTGCGCTGCTTTTACTTTTGAGGTATAAGGTGTTGATGTTAGTTTTTCGGCTGCGTTGTGTTCTTACCCTGCAAGGAAATGCCACGAAACACGACAGAATCCGCTAACAAGAGTTTTATTAAAGGGACAGAGAGTGAACAGGCCTGCGGGAAACACGTGTGTGGAGAAGAAGGAGGAAGAAGAAGAAGAAGGAACCGGGAACATGGCGCCGGATTTTAAAGGCTGGGCGTGGACAGATCAGCGTCACTATTACACGCAAGCGCGTAGATCACATGGCCACGTTGCGCGCCTACGTAGCCAATGGAACGTCACGGATCTTGGTCACGCAAGATGCCCTGACCCGGAAATGGCTATCCTGACCTGGAACTGGCTAGGTGGAAGTGTCTGTTGGGCATATGCGAACACGCCCGACCGTGGGGGCGTGTTGTAAACCTTTCAGTTGACACTCTAGCACAATAAATACTTCCAAATTCTTTAGGGGAAGGGAGAAACTCACTGAGCGAGACTCAAAGGAGGGTGGTTGGTTTTAGTTGCTGATTACATTTTGGCCACGCGAATGGGCCAGTAGGGATAGAGCGTTACACCTCAGTAGGGTAAGAGGTTAATTTTAGACAAGCTCCCTCTACCCAACAGGATGTCATTCCACTGAGGACTAGAACCTTGACCGACCATCTCTGGATTAATGGGCCGAGGCAGAACACAGGTTAGGGAGTGGAATCTTCCCTCAACAAAGCACAAAGCCCAGCTTCCACAGGCCTTGGCATGGGGAAGACTGAGAAAGATAAAGTGAGCTGTTTTTCTTGGGAACCTCTGTTCCTCTCTGGTTGTCCTTCCAACTCAGTGCTCCTGGCTTTCCCGTTTCTAGGGGATTTCAAATTTCTGCTGGTGCACAAACTGCTTCATTCCGATTCCTAAGATCCCCTCCAGGGATGTCCAGTCCCCTTCTGAAAGCTTGTTTCAAGCCTCGGCCCTTACCGTCTAGGTCTATGCTCAACTTCTTCAGCAAATACCCAGACACAGAAAATGTCCCGGCTGACTCCAGATCTCGACAAAATGAGAAGTTGTTACATTAGCAGGTTATTACATTGTTGTTATATCAGCACGCAGGATTCACACCACGGGACTGAAGAATGCCTGGACTCTGGGGCCTTCCTTCCTAAGGTGCTGCCATTTCCAAAGAATCTGCTTAGGGACCCGGGTGGTGGCGCACAGCAGGCTGTAAAGGTTTAGGGGCAGAAAGGCTGAAGGACAAGGGACCTTGCAACCTTAGTGTCCACTCTGCCAGGGCTTTGTCTTCTTAAGAGTCTGATGGCCTGCTCCTTCCTACTCAGTGCCGACCAGCACTTAATAGCTGAATAAATAAATGCTTGTGAGCGACCTCCATCTCAGACCAGATGGACCCTTGATCAAGGAGAGGGTGGTCTCTGCCACCATCCCCGGCGCCCCCAACTTCTTCCCTTCGGGTGATAGTCAACCCCTTCTGGGCCCCGTCTGGGATCGAGATGGGGAACTTCCCGGGACAAACAGCTGGAAGGAAGGGACTAGAATACTGGACGCGGCCATGTCCCTTGGCCTCAAAGCCAGCCGGGGATCGCCAGATGCAGAGGGCCCTGGGGTCCCCGCCGGGTGCAGCGCCCCGACGCGGCGGGGGTGGGGGTGGGGGAAGGCGCTGGTGATTCGGATCCCCGGGGCCCCCGCGCGTGGCGGCGGGGTGGCCCTGTCGCTTCTTAGGATCAAGCCACAGTTCCCCGCCCCACCGTGGGCCCTTAGGGCTGACGTGTCGCGGCGCTCACGGATCGGGGAACCCGCCTTTACTTTGCTGCCCGAGGCCCCGCGAGGTCCCTGGTGAGGTCACCGAGGGCCAGGCTCGCAGCAGAGGGCTGGGGAGTGGGGGGTCGGGTGGGGGGGGCACCGCGGTGCCGGGACACGCCCCGGACACACTCCCAGCGCTTTTTGCACACTCGCCCACCACCGCCGCCGCGGGGAACCGCCAAAGGCACGGCGGGGGGGGGGGGAGCGCAGCATGGGGCGGCGGGAGGGGGGGGGTAGGGGGGAGTTTCTGTGCCCTCGCTGTTTGTTGGGACTTCTTCCCAGGACAGCACGCCCCACCCTTTCCTCTCGAAAGTCTTGTGGTTTCCCTAGAAGACCAGGGAGAGAGAGAGAGAGAGAGAAGTGGAGAAGAGTTTGCAGACTTTTTCTTTCTTTTGCCGTCTTTCTCGTTCCGAAACTCTTAAAAAAAAAAAAAAAGAAATCCCTAAAGGGTCTGTCTGGGCCGACGGGAGATAAGTCCGGGGTGCTGGAGAGGAGGGAGCAGAGCCGTGCATTCCTTCGCCCTCCCGGCCTCCCCACCTGGCCTCGCCGCTCCCTCCCCTCCCCCGCGCGGGGTGGGTGTGTGTGTGTGTGCGTGCGTGCGGGGTGTGTGTGTGTGTGTGTGTGTGTGTGTGTGTGTGTGTGTGTGTGTGTGTGTGTGTGTGTGTGTGTGTGTGTGTGTGTGTGTGTGTGTGTGTGTGTGTGTGTGTTCCCTACCCCCTCCACACACCCCCCGGCAGCTGCAGGGTTAAGCTCAGGAATGTGGCGGCGAGGAATGTGCATGCAGATGAGGCGAGCGCGGGGCGGGGCCGAGGGGGCGGGGCGTATGCTAATCGCACGCAAATGAGGAGGCCCGCCGCTGCCGCCGCCGCCGCCGCCGCCGCCGGGCCGTTGCTCCGCGGAGCTTCCCGGATCCGAGCCCAGACGGCGTCGGCCGGGGCAGCCTGGGCGCCGCGACCCTCGGCGGCCGCAGGGGGACGGGGAGGAGGAGGAGGAGGAGGAAGAGGCGGAGGCAGCGGCGGCCAGGAGGAGGAGGAGGAGGAGGAGGAGGAGGAGAGCTCGCTCGCCCGTTCCGACGCAGACATGGTGGACTGATCCCCGGCAGGGCTGAGAGCAGGGATTCCCGAGGCTTTTCCCTCCGCCCCGCCGCCCCGCGCGTGGCCCGCGCCCCGCGCCCCGCGCCCCGCACGCCCCCTCCGCCGGTGCCCGCGTTCCCGCCGCGTCCCCGCGCCCGGTCCCTATGGAGGCGCCGCTCGCCGGCGAGGCCGCCGACCATGCCTAGGAGAGCCGGGAGCGGGCAGCTGCCGCTACCCCGGGGCTGGGAGGAGGCCAGGGACTACGACGGCAAGGTCTTCTACATCGATCACAACACCAGGAGGACCAGCTGGATCGACCCCCGGGACAGGTGGGAAGCCGGGCCGCCCCCCTCCCCTCCGGCTAGCCCCGGGGGTGGGGTGGGGTAGGGTGGCGTGTGTGTGTGTGTGTGTGGGGGGGGACCCGCCTCGGAAGTGTGGCGGCGGCTGTTGTCCGGGAGACCTGGCGGGGCGCGGGGGGCGTGCGTGGGGCGTCGCCGGCCTTGCACCCCTGAGGTCTCTAGGGTTAGGCGCGGGACCGCCGGCCTTAGGCGCGGCTCTATCGATCTGCCCGCCAGGCGCCCCTTCTTGGGGCCCCATTGCCCACTGCCTTCCCCCACGCCCCTCCAGGACTTGTAAGACACTCCCTGCCCCCAAGGGAAGGGCTGGATTGGTGCTCTGGGCTGGCACCCCAAGTCCAGTTAGCCGGCTCAGGGTAAGGGATACTTGAGTCCTCTGTAGACCTCCCGTGCGCTTTAAAGTTGGTCGGATGGAGACAGAGGGCACCTTTCGACCTCTGCAAAGGCGCTCTGGGCTTGGGGCCTCCCGGAGGCCTAAGTGCACAGTGAGCCACTAGCCATCTGGGCCACCTGTGGCATCTCTCCAGCCATCCTTGCTTGGCTCCTGAGCTTTGACGGCAAGTTTTTGCTAGGACGCACCCCCAGCCATGCCCTAGGTCCCCGAACATGGAGAGGGGTCCCAGTCCTGGCTGGACCTTCGTGGCTTTGCCCCTCGGATTTTCAAAGCACTGTTTTTGGAGTTTTACTTCTCATTCCTCACCTGATAACTTGGTCAGATTTCCTTGTTGAAGTGGAGTGAACGAACCCTAGACCTGAACCTCGGCCGTGGGTAGCCCGGACCCGAGCTCAGACCGATTTTGCACAGGTCTCTCAGTACAAGCGTTTCGTTCCTTCCTTTTACCTGGAGATCTGAAGCAGCAGACAGACATCGAAGAAGTTCAGGAGTTGAAGTTTTGTGGAGTGCTCCCAAAAGTTTTGTCTCCCAACTTTCTTTTCACTCTGAGGAAGAACATTTCTTAGGATTAAAGTTGTTAGAGGACCACTAGGAGGGCGTGGTGTGTTGTCACACATCTGTATAAACTCTGCACGTGGGAGGGGAAAGGAGAAGGAAGATCCCGAGTTCAAGACCAGTCTGGGTTATGGGAGACCCTGTCTCAAAAAAAAAAAAAAAAAAAAAAAAAAAAAAAGAAGAAAAGAATACTAAGGAACACTTTTACCTGTAAATTTGAAAACTGACCATTAAGGAGCTATTCCTTTTTGTTTTGTTTTATATTTCTAGACTGTCTCATACTGTATGTAGCTCAGGCTGGCGGGCTTGGAACTTATTATGTAGCACAGGCTGGTCCCAAGCTCACAGCAATCCCCCTGCCTCAGCCTCCACAATGCAAGAATTACGGGTGCCAGCCACCATGCCGGATTAATATAGCCTCAGGGATGCCCCTGTCCTGTGCAGTTTTATCATTTCTAGAAGGTCTTACTGGCTTTTTATGCAATGGGGTCTGAGGCAGTTACGGCTGCTTTTCCTGTTAAACAGCCCCCCCCCCCAGTTTGAACTCGAAATACTTTTTCACTTAATATTCCCAATCACTCTTTTTCTAGAACTATTGTATTTGAAAACTATTAAAGAGCAGTTATAAGAAAGTCCCAAGCAGCATACATTTATGGAACAATCCTTGTTAATTATCCATGAAGATACGGGTTCAGATTTCCCTCCTGCTGAGGGAAGACACCTGTACCCAGGCCCCACCTCCCCACAGCCCCACGGGCCAGTGCTGGCAGATGAAAGTTAGGACAAGAGTCGAGCCTTCACAGTCTCTCCAGGCACACCAGTTGTCATAAACTCCGTGCCCCAAGCCGGTAACTTACACTGTTGCACCTTGAAACTCCTTAACAGATAGTAAACGTCGGTGCCGATGGTGTGCACACAACAGCGGTTTGTGAGGCACCTGTATAAATATTTGACTTTTACGGTTGTGCGTCGGGCAGTCCGGCAGTCCGGCAGTGCTCCGCTCTCGGATACCGGGAGTCTCAGGTTAGCTGCAGCACATGCTTGCTCTTTCGAGGCTTTCCACATCCTCTGCTGCCTCAGCTCACAAATGTTTCATTACTTCATCTCACTTGCCCACCAGAGGGGATTATAAGAATAGGCTGGGTGAGGCAAGTGGGAAGCGGGGTTTTAGGACTTGGCTTCTCTGTATTACTACTTCTTACACAAGCCAGACATGCCTTTTCCTTTAAACTGGAATGAATCGTCAGTTGCTGGGAATGCATTTTTTCCAGAAAGTGGGAACCAAGGACTATATTGGGGACAAACAGTTTTGACTAAGTTGAATTGTTTTTCCCATTTTCCCCGCAGCTGTTAGGTCTTTAAATACTTGGAGATAGGCATTTGAATTACTGGAAATATTTCTGAATTTTGGTATGAGAACTTTAAAATCAGCCACTGTGACATGCTTTCTTTTCGTGCAACTAAGCAACAGTATGTCTTCCGACATAGTGTTAGAACCGATTAGGAAAGATATTTGGAGTAACCACTAACTCTTGTTAATTTTGCTACACAGCAAACCTATAGAAAGACCAGTAGGGAGTTCATGGATTCTTCTGCACCATCAGATTACAAATCCTGAAAGAAAAAAGAAAAATAACTTGCGATACTGTGGGTCCTCGGCGGTTTGGGATCTTTAAGGACACTTAACTAAAGTGGTTGGAATGATTTCCCCATTCATTGTTGTGATTTTCATTCCGTTAAGAGTGAAGATTTCGCTCCTGATAGTTCATCATAATTTATCTGATATTTTCTGGTTGGACAGAGAATTATGCTGAGTGAATGGGAGGAGGCTGGGGGATTTTACGGCAGCATACTTCCAATAGTCCAATCCAGGAGTACTGGAGCTAGAGCACGGGGACCGTGTTTTCAGGTACTTTAAGCTTTTGGAGCTAGGTCACATGATGCAGACTTTGCTGGGATGTATTAGACCTCTTACTGCTCTGTCATGTACTAAGTTGGACTGAGTGTCTGCGTCAACTCTAAACTGTGGATAATGTCACATCCTCATAGGGATGTTTTCCGGCTCATGGGTAGGACTCAGCCATAACACTTTTTTTTTTTCATTAAAAAAAGTGTGTGTATGGATGCATTATCTGTTCCACGAGTGTGTAGTGCCCTTGGAGGCCAGAAGAGAACGTCGGGTCCCCGGGGGTTGGAGCTGCTGGTGATTGAGAGCTGTCCTGTTGGTGCTGGGCATTGAACCCTGCCCGGGGTTCTTTAGATCAGCCAGTGCCCTTAACTGCTGAGCCGTCTCCAGCCCTCTGTTAACACTCTAACTCAGAGACTGGGCTGTAGTTCTTGGAAACCCTGCTAACAGTACAGACCGCATCACATTTACTAGGCTCTGTGAAGGTGATCTCATTTGATTCTCCCATCCATCCTCTGAGGTAGGTTTTCTTACCTCACAATCATAGATGAGGAACCAGAACCAGAGAAGTGTGGAGTCAGGATCTGGTACTAGACAAGGTGATTCTGTAGAGCAGTGGTTCTCAACCTTCCTAGTGCTGTGACCCTTTAATACACTTTCTCATGTTGTGGTAACCCCCAACCATAACATTATTTCCCTTGCTACCTCATAACTTTAAATTTGCTACTGTTATGAATCTCAATGTAAACACCAGTGTTTTTAGGTGGTCTTAGGTGACCCCTGTGAAAGAGGGTCATTCAACCTCTCACAGAGGTCAAGACCCACAGGTTGAGAACTCTAGAGCCTGTGCCTTGTTCCTTGGCTTCATGGAGGCTTTGCTTCCTGGGGGTGTTATTTTGTGGGTTCTCTCTCCCACTCCCCTCTTATTTTGCTCACCGTGAACACTCTTTGACCACAGTAGCTAGTGTTTATGGTGGACCATAGCTCATGGCCAAATGGGCCGGTGTTGTAGAACACTACATTCAGCACAGAAGAAGGGATGGGAAGGATCCATTGCCTGTTGAGTAAGAGGGCTGAATGAGCAGGCATTATGGTTTTGCATGCTTCTCGTCCTTGTGCTGGATGCTAGCCAGAGGCGCAATAAGTGTTGTCCGGTGAAGCTTGCAGGTTGCCATGCAAAGCAATTTTGTGTGAAGGCTGATGGACCCTACTCTGTAGCTTATAACTAGGGTCATCTGATACAGAGCGATTGTAGCTTCGAAGTGAAGAGAGACTTGTGTGGTGGTGTGTGAACGGAGGAGGAAGAAGCCCTCGCTGAGTGCACCATCGATGGTAGAGCAGGCTGTCCTTTGCACTCGGTCGGCACACAGTTAGGATCCCAGGAACTCTCTGAATCTCCTTTGCTTTCAAATCGGACGAAACAAATGGACCAACCCACTGCGAACATGTAAATTTCTCAAGTCTTAATTTCACATTACTGCCTTATGTGGCCTGTGTGTGTGGTAGATGTGAACTGAATTTTGGTTAGGTCAGTTAATTGAAGGCCAAAAAAATCAATGAAAGAGTGTAATTTGAGCTACTCTCCTATTTTAGTTTCTTATTGGGCTTTCAAAAAAAAAAAAAAATTATAGCCTGAGCTACCAACAGCCAGAGACAATCAATTTTCCAGTTGGATTAGAAATAATGAGAGAAGTGAGCTGCTCCATTTCGAAGAATAATACACATATGTGAGTTACTTATTAGAGCAGAAAACCCACTGTCAGCTCCGCAGTCTTGATTGTCCTGCCGTGGTCACAGGTGCTGGATAGTGTCCCATCCCAGCAGGCTCAGCGTCCGTCAGCCATGATGCCGAGAGTTAGCTGAGTGGTTATGGTGTTTGAAGTTGTGGAGGGGTCGCAAAGAGTTTGGGTTTTAATCCCTCGAGGAAGCGTTAAGCCAAGCTATGAGGTCTCTCAAGAATCCCCATGGAAGTATTTCTGGTTGTCAGCACAGTTTGCTAAGATGCTTGCCAGAGTGAGCAATGCTTGCTTGGAATATTCGAATGACCCAGGTTTCTCCTGTGGTTTTAACGGTCTGCAGTTTGCAGTTTAATTTCGCTGTGAGATTCAGGACAATAGT